TTTCACCCATATTTTATTACTTTTCAATATCAGACGATTTTATCTCTCGTTTATATATTTTTTATACATTTATTCTTCGTTAATACTTTTCTTCGTGCAATTTTATCCTCGGATCATATTTTATTATTTTTATTCTTCTATACTTTTATGATTTTATACTTTGTTGACGTTTTATCATTTTATTCTCTTTCTCTAAATATTTCGTAATTTTTTAATAAATTTGAGTAATTTCATTTCTATATTATTTTATTCATTCTTAAACGATTTATCGTTTCATAGTGACGTACAATAGTTTCTGACTAAATGATTTTTTTTACTTTTTTTTTCAAAAAGCACAATATAGAGAAATTTTTTCAATTCTCAATACAAATAAAATGCGAAAAAATTCATAATGAAAATTCAAAATGTATTCAAAATGTTCTTTAAAATTATAATTTTTGAATTGTATCATTTACATTGCAAATTATCAATTACATTGCAATATCTTAAATATATTTACTTTTTTTTTTAATATTATCTTGTACTATGTGCTTTTATATGAAATATTAATAACAATTCCTTGAAGTTCTGGTTTTAAAAGAAAACTAACTAGCTGAATTCTTCTGCATTTCATTATATTTATTTCAATTATTAATATTAATTTGATGTATTTTATAATATTGAATACTTACAATTAGCGATAAATTTATTACTGACTTTACGTACATGATCATATATAGTATTGTTAATATGAAAAAATATCTTTTCTCTAATTGCGCAAAATATATATTATTATGTAAAAATATTTTGCAAATGTTGTATAACTATTTATACAATAATTATATTTTATTTATTATAAATTCTAAATGTTTTATTTTATTCAAATATATTATAACTATTAAAAAAATATGAAGGATTTTTTTTTAAATAAAATATTCTTAAAAAAAAATTTTAAAATATTCCTTTTACTCTTTTTTATTAATTTTATTACAAAAAATTATAAACTAATTTATGATGAAAAAAAAAATTAGAGATAAAAATAAAATATTTTAATATATGAATTCGTTATTTCACAGTAAAAGTCTTATATTATAGTTACTATAAACCTGCGTATAAAAAATACTTTCTTTCTTGAATCTACCGAATTTGCTTATCTTTCATTTCATGCTGTTACAGAATGTTACATTATTATTAAAAACAAGTCGAGATCAATATGAGATCACAATCATAATTTATATTTCAGAAATGTGATACAATTTTAAAGTGAAAACATGTTATATATGTTATTACATAATATTATATGAAGACTTTCATATGATTTGAAGTGTATATGTGTTAATTATCTGTACATTACGACCATATCATAATCCTTATTTTTTACAAATAATTAAAATTGTAATTAAAAATTCATTTTTAATTGTAAAATTAAAAATTGTAAAATTTTCAAATTGTAAAATTTCATTGTTATTTAAAAATTTGTATTCTTTATCTTGATTTAATAAATGTTTTATTATTTTTAAAAAATTTTTTGTCTAGAAATTCAAGAAAATGTATATTTATGTAATAATTTTTATCTACACATTATAAACATAAATATGCATATGCATATAAATGAAATTAAATTTGATTTTAAAATTTTATATTATAGATATTTATTAATAATATTATATTGCTACAAGTGTTTTAGAAAAAAATAAATCAATATAATTATAATTGGATATAATAATAATAGTTGCTGATGCATTAGATTATCAAATATTTAATTTTTTCTATTTATAATTATTATATAATATATATTAATTATTATTATATAAACAAAAAAGTTCTATTGTTTTTTTATGATAAAATATAACAAATTTTTCACATTATATAAATTTTCTAAAAAAAACTGTTTGTAAAACAGAGATTGTTAAAAAGATTGTTAAAATTTAAAACTAAGTATATTAGGATTCAATTCTAAAGACTAAACAAATATAAAAATATAAATTTAGATTTATTTATTAAGTTAGAAGCAAGTTTAAATAAATCTGCACTATATGATGATGTAAAGTGAAGATAGAGCGAAGTGTGAAATAAAATTTGTCTCATTTTAGCTCTTTTACGCTTCAGCTAACATATCTAATTTTAATTATGTGGTAATTTAATATATAAGCTTTTAATATATAATTAATATCTTTGTATATCTTTTAATATTTTACATAAATTTTTTGTTTATTTTTTAGAATCGATCTTCCAAAAAAAAATATTAATATTATATTATTTGTATAAAAATACAAATATTTTCTAAATTATTAAAAAATAAAATACATTTTATTTTTAAATTAATATCAAAATTTAGTATCATATTTTAATATAATATAAATCAACAAAAAAAGATTTTATATAAATAATTTAAATTATATTTTTTAAATAAATAAATATTTCTTTAATTATATCATTAGATATAATTATAATTAAATATAATTAGATGTAATTTTTATAATTATTGTGAGACAATAAATTCTGCAAAATATTTTTAAGATTTTGAACATTACAGTTCAAAATTTTTATTATTTTATATAATTAACATTTTTTAATTATTGGAAGAAATTTTTTAATAATATTATCATAATATTATCGATTTTTATAATTTAATAATCTTATCATAATTTATTTACATTAATGAATAATTTTAAAAATTTATTAATTTAATTTTAAATATTTATATATTATACTTACGTTGATTTAAGATAACTATATGTAGTATGCGTCCGACAAATACATGATGATACTACTTACAGAAGTACTACATTATACTCTCGTATTCTACTTATCCATGATATAAGTTATATTATATAATTAGAAAATTTTTGTATAACTATAATTATAATCATAATGTTTTTAAAAAATTCTTTATTTTTTATGAAATTATTATATAAAACTTATATAAAAGGATTATCAAAAATTGAAATTCCTCTATTAGATAAATAAATAGAGAAATTTCAATTTTGTTATTATTATATTTTGTTATAAAAAATATTCAAGTATCTTTAATAAAATTAATATTGATTTATATTAAATAGAAATATAATTATATATATTTATTATAATTATATTCACAAGAAACAAAAATAGATTTTAAATTAATAAAACTATTATTTCATTTTCTTCATTAAAAAAATAAATATACATGTATTTTTTAAAATTATATTATATAATTTATACTATTATTATTTAATTTATATTATATAATTTATATTAAATTCATTCATATAATTATTAAAGATTATATTAATAATTTTTTTCTTTTATTGCTTTTTTTAACAGTGTTAAAATAAATTTTTAATGAAAGAATTATATCAAGATTTGCATTACTTTTTGTCTATGTTAAAGTAAAATTATGTTAGAAAAATATTGTATTATAAAATAATTTCTATACTTATCTATTTATTTACTATTCGTTTATCTAATATTTAATATCTAATCAATTAATTTATTATACGTTACATTTCGTGATATAAAATTATATTAAAAATATATCAAATTTTCAAATTTTCACAAACTTTTAAATAAATTTAATCATATATTAAATATATTAAAAATACACATAATACACAGATAAGACATAGAAATATATATTTATTATTTACATAATACAATATAAATTAATTCGAAAAACTTAAAATAAATAACAATGATAATCAATATTTGACAAACATATTTAATTACTTGTTACATAATCTTAAAGTGTTTATTATATTAGTTATTATATTAAACTTTCGTTATTCTTTCAAAATGAATAATGTCCAACCTAAATATATTTACTTATGTTGTAATTTCAAAATTTAACAAATATATTTTTCAAAAAATAAATCATTTATATTACATTCCATAAAAATGCAATCCAACGTTACAATTGATGTCTTTCATAAATAAACCGTCTAGACTACATTCCATAAAAATGCAATCCAATAAAGTATATGCAACATGTCTAGTCCGTTACGTGTATGTCATTGAAGGTCAAATCGTGTTATACGTATATATACGCATATATCTATGTGTTTCTTGCGTAAATATCAGAGGACCTCATAGCATCGCAACATCGACTTGCGTAACAATGAACGAGCGCGATGAATTGAAGTTCGCGCGGATGAACGTGACGAGTGATCGATCCGCATATGTCTGTGACATTGATCGACGTTATTCGCGACGCTTTTACTTATTACGCCTACACACGGTCACGTAGATCGTAGCGACGTAATCGATTGTGCCGGGGCTACAGAGATTATGGGGACACTGGCCCCGTCACGGGCTTCTCCACATAAGAAAGAAAACCAGACCCTGCTGAATAATAAATCTTTTCATTTGCTCACAGTACAACGATTGCGATACGAGACATCATGCTGGACTGGAATAAAAATGTATTCACATGTATGGGAGAATATTATCATTTTGCGAAAATATCTGTGGTGTTAATATTACATGATGTAGTTTTACATGAAAGATGGTTCATAAGAATTTGTGATGATTGAATATTTTGCAAATTTCATGAAACATTATATGTAAATGATTATTTTGATTTTTTTGTTTTGTTAATCAGAAAAGCTGCAAATGTTTCAATAATCGAAAATATATTCTTTTGGAAATTGGATTGCTTAATGCATCATAAATTTATATTCCTCTTGGAATTTCATACTTGCAAAATATAAAAAACTTGTTCTTTAGTAGCTTTCAACAAAATAGATCTATATTATCGTACATGTTTGTCTCAAAAATTTTATTTTAAAAAATTTTTCGTTCAATAAATTCATGCAATGAATTGAAAAAATTTAGTAGTTTGAGTCACAATTCCTCCAAAATATTATAAATTAAGAAGAAAATATTTAATTTTAAATTTTTATAAAATTATATATTTCATACACATATCGTAACTAATTTAGTTAATATAATATAATTTATATAAATATAAAAATGTTTCAAATGTCGAATAATTGCATAACGAATAAGAATTTTAGGGAGTTGATTCATAATAATATTAGATATAATTCATTATAAAGATATATTTATTACAACTTGATCAATTAAGCGGGCATGATTTAATAACAAAACAATTTTAACAAAAATTTCTTAAAAATTTTACAAAAGGGCGGTAGCGGGTGCATAAGTGAGACCTCCAATAGGAGCTGCGTAAGCTAAGGGTGATGAGTAAGCAGCTGTGTACGCATAGGCATTAGGATAAGAGGCGAAAGTGGTAACAGTTTTGGTTGTTGGCAAATTGACTAATCTCGCTGCTTGTGGAGCTTTTGCTGGCAATTGTACCGGAGTGGCAAGAGCTTTCACTGGTATAACAGCCTGTTTTTGCTGTTGTGATTGTTGTCGTTGCAATGGTTGTTGTCTTTGGTGTTCCTGTTGTTGTTGTCCCTGTTCTTGTTGTATCCTCTGCTGTTGCTGAATTTGCTGTTGAAATCTCAATCTGGATTGTTGTTGAAGCTGTTGCAATTGTTGCAATTGTTTCTGTTGCTGTTCTTGTTGTTGCCTTTCAAGCTCCTTCAATTGTTGCAATTGTTGCTCTTGTTGTTGTCGAAGATGCTCGTCACGAGCGGTTGGACCATTGGATGTAATCAGAGGACCGGATCTAGCTTCAACTACTTCAACGTCGGAATCCGGACCGCTGGCTGGAATGGCTGGCGCTGGTGCAGGTGCTGCAGGCAGAACAGGTGCAGCTGCCGCGGCAGGCGCGATGGCTGGTGCATATGGTACCAATGGGGCGGCAATGGCTGCTACAGCGGTTGCTGGTTCTCGGCTTACCACTGCGTTAAAGCCATTTATCGGATCCGCTGTATACTCGACTATCCGTCGAGTACCGTCTGCCTCAATCAAGCTGTAACTACCCTGTACTAAGTCACCATTTCTAGTTTCATATTGAGCTTTAGAGTCCCCGGTTACGGCATCTTGGACATCATACGCGAAACTGTATTGAGGTGCCGCATCTAATTCCTCGAGTTTTGCTGCTATTACAGGTGCTGGCACTGCCGGTATCGCCGGTACCACCGCCCCCTTTGAAAAGACTGCCACGCTTAAGAATATGATGAGCTGTAGATATATAGAAAAAAAAATTTTAGAAAATAATTATTTAATTCGACAAAAAACGAAATTCTGTAAAATTTTTGAAATGATATATGTATTTTCTATATATTTCTTTTATATTTAAAATCAATTTTAATTATTCTAAAAATTTTTTCGTTTCTTTTTGTCCGAATCTCTATGTATCTGTATGTAATATCGATAATAATAGTATGAAAAATTTTTTATGATAAAAGAATTATATTATTATTATGTAATTTTATCAAAAGTCAATTAATAAATAATACATTGATATCTAGTGACACATACTAACTTGATGCATAATTTGTTGTTGTTGATCAATAAACTAATTAATATTTAATAATCTAATAGATATATATTAGATAATAATATATAGTTCGATAATATATAGTAGATGAAACTATAATATTTATAAAATTTTTGAATATTTCAAAAAAATATATTGAAATTTTCGATTTTGATAATTATAATTGTCCTGAAAACAATCAAAGAACAATAATAAAAATAAAAATTAATAACAGATATTGCAGCAAAGAGAAAGGAAAAATACAATATATTTTAAATATAAACAAATTATTATAAGAATATATTATAAGAAAAGAAAGAAAAATAATAGATTATATAATATATAATATAATAACTTAACTGATAAAACTAATTAAAATAATCTTTATGTTAGGTCGATGTTTATCGATTTCTAGTAAAGGACTTCTTACCTTTCCAGCCATGTTTGTTTGCAAGAAGATCGCCAGAAGACTGATGCCTTGGGGTAAAATTCGTCGTACTTTTATACGCCTGATGACTGTCGTTGTTTTTGTGTCATCCGCCAACAATAATCGAGCTATTCCTTGCACCCAAACTCACGTCGAAACACCTGTCTTACACACGCATACAGCGTCCCCACTTAATCTCTCCTTCTTTTATTTAGCCTACCTATTACTCTCTTTCTTTTGCCATTCGATGACCTCCTCATAAATGTTACGATATATGTACATACATACAACCACGAACCGATGAGTATGCACGCTTATGTTTCTTCATATTGTCGCAGTGAATACACGCGACCTGTATGCCAATATGTCGAAGATACGAAGCCTCGAGGTCATACAACGAAACTGCGAACGCAAACTGTGAACTCTACTCTAACCCTCCCTTGTGATGAAAGGTGCGTACTTCCAAAAGTTTACAATATTGCGCGATTGTTATCGATTAGCATTTATGTCGCGACTGCGACATATTGAACTAAGGCTAGCAGGCCAAAAGGGTTTCTTAATACGGAGATACTGTATTTGAATAAATGTTTTAAAAATTTTTATAATACAACTATATTAGAACAATTATCAAACAAATTCATTAATAATAAATTGGTAAACAAAATTATTATTATTATTATTGTTGTTGTTGTTGTTGTTGTTGTTATTGTTATTATTGTTGTTGTTGTTGTTGTTGTTGTTGTTGTTATAATATGAAAAGGATATCAAGTAATTTATTCTTAAATTATATGTATATTATTGAAATTAGCAAATTAATTAAATTAATATTATAGCACGTTTAATTAACTATTTTTTCATTAAAATTTTTCGTTTCTTCACGCAAACATAACATAATTTTTTTTCTGTATCACTTAAATTTTTATAAAAAATTAAATTATTACTTTTAATTACTTAATAGTTTTTTAATCCTTTATTTTAAAAATAAATCAAGTGATTTTATATTTTGTGCATTTAAAAAAATTATAAAAAAATATATTTCTGTTTTAATAAATATTCTATTTTTGAATAACAATAGTAAACTATTAATGATTTATAAAATATAGGATTTAAATAATACAATTACAATTTTTTTTTTTCTGTAGTAATGACTACCAATAATTTTCAGAAAAATTTAACATTTTTTTATAAAATTTTATAAAATTTTTCGGTTAAATTATATTATATTTATTAATGAAACTTTAACAACAATTGCTTATAAAACAATTTAATATTTTATAAACGAAATATATACAATAAGCATATATATACAGTATAATTATCATCTTTTAAAATTATATTTTAATAATGTAATAAAATTTCAGTTAATAAATTTCGAAATCTATTATAATATTTTGGAATTATATCTAATAATTAATAGAAATATCTAAAATATCTAATAATTAATAGAAAATAAAAAAAATTAAAAGTTAAAATAAAATAATATTAATAATAATTCAAATGTATTTAATTACATAGTTTTTTTATATACTAATATTGAAATAAATAAATAAATAAATAAATAAATATAATATATTGAGATAAAATATCGAATATTTTCTTGAATAAGTATGATATAGAAATTGTACAAGATATGTATATATTTACTTACAAAATGTTAATATATTTATGAAATATCTTTGAAAGAATAATTATAGATTAAAACAAATACAAAAATTGGTATAATATAAATATACATTTACTTATACTTGTTTATTAAATAACAAACAATTCAAGCTTATATTAAATAAAATGAAACAAAGACAAAGTGAGCTATGAAATAGAATCGTCCTTTATGTTCTCTATATATATAGAAAATAAATATACATATAAATGCTTTTAAATTTTTTAGAAATTTTTGAAATTTTGTTTTTTCCCAAATTAAATAATTATTTTTTAAAAATATCATATATTTTTATTTATACATATATTTTTATTTACTCTAAAATGATAAAAAAATTCATATAACAAAGAAATATATAAAATTTAATTCAATAACAATATCATAATATTTATTTTTATTAACTAAATTATTAACTATTTTTATTTTTATTAAACTATTTCTTTATTAAACTTTTTTATTTTTATAAAACAAAATAATAAAAAAATATGTAACATTTGTGTACTTAAATGAATCTAAATTTTAATTAGTAAATAAATTTTTTTTTATATAAATAAAAATATTTCTTTAATAATCTATATAAAATGAATTCTAAATAGTGTTAAAAAATATTAAGAAAATAGGAAAACATTATAACATTATATAATTATTAATAAAAAATATATTTATATTAATTTTAGATATATCATATGTAAAAATAATAATATAATTTTATCTTTATATCACTATTTAACATAATATATTTATATTTAAGTTAATTATTTTCAATTTAATTAGATGTCTTTAACTTTTTTTTTTAGTATAATACAATTATGTAAAAAAAAAAGTTTTTATTTGATTATTTTCATTTGTTTATTAAAATGTATTTGAAATTCTAGCATTTG